ATGGAGAAGTTATAACGAAAAATCTCATATCTGAACAATCAGTTGTATTTTTATCACTAAAAATTAAATTAAAACTTTATTTAAATGAATATTAATTGTAGCGCACGACGTTTCCGTGTCAAGAGGAAAAAACGAGAGAGCATAAGAAATCTCTGCTGTCAGAAGCCAGGGTTATGTGCTACTCCGTACTTAGTAGATACAGCGTTGCATTTTCCTTGCACTGCATGGGGTACGGACTTAGTTATGAGTGCCACAAACTCATACTGGCAATTTGAATCAAACATGTAGCTTGTAAGATGAGAGACATTCAAGATNTGTTGCATTTTCCTTGCCTGCATGGGGTACGGACTTAGTTCTGAGTGCCACATTACTCCCCCTTCTGTTGAAAACGAAAGCGAACTTTACGGCCTGAACGCGTGTGGTATTCCGGCTGCTTGGTATGCGATGGAGTGCTTTCTTGGTCTTCGTTAACGACGTACGCAGCCTTTAAACGGTCGATACTAACGTTCACCTGCTTCCCGCGAATGTCGACTTTGTAATATTTTTCACATCGTTTTAGAACGAGATATGGCCCTTCGTAAGGGGCCTGGAGTGGTCGGCGTACGCTGTCTGTTCTAACGAACACGTAGGGCGTCGTTGTTAATCGAGTCTCGATAAAAGTGGATGGCTTCGAGTGGTTGGCGGTGTGAGTCGGCGTTAGCTTGCGCATTCTTGCTCGCAGGTCATTTACAAAATCGGATTCTGCGAGAGTAGCATTGGCATTAGACGCGTGGTGGAGAAATTCACCGGGCAATCGAAGTGTCCCACCGTATACTAGTTCTGCTGGCGTTGACTTTATATCTTCTTTGTAGGACGAGCGGTAGCCCAGAAGAATTAATGGCAATACTTCGGCCCATTTTTCTGTTTGGTAACACTTAATCGCAGTTTTCAGCGTTCTGTGGCAGCGCTCTATAATACCGTTTGCGGCGGGGTGGTACGCCGTTGTTTTGAGGTGCTGAATACCCAGAAGTCGGTTGAGATCACGAAAAAGCGACGATTCGAATTGGCGCCCTTGATCGGTGGTGACACTCAATGGTATGCCAAATCTGCATATCCAATTCGAGTAAAAAGCGTAGGCGACTGACTCTGCGGTAACATTTTCGAAAGGGTATGCTTCCACCCATCGCGTGTAACGGTCAATGCAAGTGAGGCAGTACCGATAACTTTGACATGGCGGCAAAGGGCCTACTATGTCCATGTTGACGTACTCGAACCGCTTATCCGCCAGCTGGTATGTAGAAATCGGCGATTTGTTGTGGCGTTGAATTTTAGCTTTTTGGCAGGACAGACACCTGTTGGTCCACTCACGGCAGTATTTTCTCATATTTGGCCACACAAATTTTTCTGCTACCAGCTTTATGGTTTTGGCCGCGCCGCTGTGACAGATGTTGTGGATTGATTCAAATCCGATTTTACGAAAAGGCTCTGTGAGGTACGGACGTGCGCTACCAGTACTTACGTCACAATATATTTTAGCCTCCGTACCTGGCACGACGAAAGCTTTTAAATCTAAGCTGCACTTGTTGCTTTTTACCCGCTGAAGCTCGTCGTCTGTAATGTGACTTTCAGCCAAACTCGCGTAGTTAATTATTTGCGGATCGTGAATCGCTTCGAAGCGCGTCTGCTATGACATTGTCCTTGCCGGGAAGGTAGCGGATGTCGGTAGTGAATTGGCTCAAAAAAGTAAGATGCCTTATTTGCCTAGGCGAAGCTTTCTCCATTTTTTGGCGAAAAGCGAATCGGAGCGGCTTATGGTCCGTGTATATGGAAAATGTTTGTCCCTCGACCATATGTTGGAAGTACTTTACCGCTTTATATGCACCTAAAAGCTCGCGGTCGTACGTGCTGTAGCGGCAAGTCGTTCCGAGTAGAAACTGAGAGGTTGCCATTGGTTGTCGTCAAGTTGCTGTAGCACGGCCCCGAGTGCCGTTCCGGAAGCATCGACCGTGAGTGCTAAGGGTGCGCCAGGCTTAGGAAATACCAAAAGGGTGGCTGCGGCTAGTTCTGCTTTGCAACGCTGAAAAGCTTCGTTGGCTTTCGCATTCCATTCTATTTTTGAGGTGTCGCGTTTTTTATTCCCTTTAATGAGGCTAGTCAAAACGCTTTGGCTCTCCGCTGCTTTTGGTAGAAACCGACGGAAAAAATTCAACATACCCAAAAAACGTCTAAGGTCGCACACTCGTTCTGGTGCTTTCATTTCTTTAGTGACCTTCACCTTGTTTGGTGGTGGTTTTAGACCGTCCGGTGTGACCACGTATCCAAGGAATGTCACTTCCGGCTTTCCGAAGACGCATTTAGAGAGATTTATTACGATGCCAAATTCGCGCAATTTTTGGAAAACCGTGCGCAAGTGTCGTCTATGCTCGTCCGTATCTCTCGAGGAAACCAAAATATCGTCAAGATAAGGCCATGTAAAATCGAAATCGCGCAGAATGTGGTCCATAAAACGTTGAAACGTTTGGCCGGCGTTGCGTAAGCCGAAGCACATATAAACGAACTCGAATATTCCGAATGGATTCGTTATAGCGGTTTTCGGTACATCAGCGGTTTCCACTGGAAGTTGGTGGTATGCACGGCGCAAGTCGATCGTGGAAAAAATTTTGCAACCATGCAGTGCGTGCGTAAAATCGTGGAGATGGGGGATCGGATAGCGGTCGGGTTCGGTTACGCTGTTTAACCGCCTGAAATCCCCACAGGGTCTCCACTCGCCGTTTTTTTTCCGCACCATGTGAAGAGGGGACGCCCACGGACTTCGTGAGGGGCGACAAATTCCTGCGTCGAGAAGCGACTGAATTTCAGCTTTTGCGGCTTTCGGTTTGTCTGGCGCCAAGCGCCTCGGCTTCGAAAAAACGGGAGGACCCTGCATGATGATGTGATGAGTGACACCATGGGCGACATTTCGCCGACCCTGGTTTTGTTGTGTTATGTCTTTAAATTCCCAGAGCAAATCCTGAAAAGGCATATCACGATTAATAAATGACAATTTACCTACGTCACCGTTGACTTTTTTGATAGCGCAGCATTGCGAAGCATTTGTCAAACTATCCACCAGCTTGCGTTGATGCAGGTCGACCAGAACCTTGAAGTGTGCCAGGAAATCGGCCTAGGATAGGTTGCGAAACGTCCGCAACAATAAAGTTCCACTGGAATTTTCGGCGAAGACCGATGTTGAGGCAGAGTGATTTCTCGCCGTACGTTTTTATAGTTGACTTGTTGGCAGCGTATAGCTGTAAATTTGCATCTGGCTGTCGTCGTTGTGCTGGAATAGGTGGAATAACGCTAACTTCTGCGCCAGTATCCACTAAAAATTGTAGGTTGCTGTTTCGATCCACGATGAGGAGTCGACGGTTGGTCGCGGGAGACCTGTCACGTACCGTCTTTGGTGACAGGGCTCTTAGTTTAAAGCTTTAGAGCATGGCTTTCGGCACTTTGTTGCTTTTTCTGCGAATCTCCTGTGGTACCAGCAAATGTCCGCGCCACTGCTTGGAGTGCGCGCGCGTCTTCGCGAATCGGATCGTCGTCTCTCTCTACCTCGTTGCTCTAACTTCGATTTTAACTCTGCAACCTCTTTCGTCAAAGCACATATTTGTTGCGCAAGAGAAGTTTGATCGCCATGTGCAGAAACAGAGTGCACATGCGGGCCGTCGCTAACCTCAACTATTTTGTGATGGGCGCATGTCTCCAAGCTCTAAATCCTGCAGTAGTTTTTTGATTCTTTTTTGCTCAGAATCGGCAAACTGCTCTAACAAGCGCGTCTTTAGGGTTTTATACAAGTCCACAACTGGCGGATTAAGTATAATGTCGNAAGAGAAGTTTGATCGCCATGTGCAGAAACAGAGTGCACATGCGGGCCGTCGCTAACCTCAACTATTTTGTGATGGGCGCATGTCTCCAAGCTCTAAATCCTGCAGTAGTTTTTTGATTCTTTTTTGCTCAGAATCGGCAAACTGCTCTAACAAGCGCGTCTTTAGGGTTTTATACAAGTCCACAACTGGCGGATTAAGTATAATGTCGCTAATTTGTGCGAGGACGCTGCTTTCGATGGCGGCTACTACGGTGTGGTACTTAGACCTGTCGCTCGAAATACCATATAAATTGCGACTCCACCTGCGCAATCCACAGCTCGGGTTTTGCATGCCAAAATGGTGGAATTTTCACGGTCACCTTTGCGATTTCGGTAACGCCTTCGTTTGCACGTGGATCTGCAACAGGTTGCTGCACCGCGGCTTGCATGACGGAATCCTTTGACCCTTCTTCGTTAGGCATTGTGCTTTAAGAGTCGTCGGGGTCACCAATTTGCGGTGATTATGATAAATCAAACACAAGTATTTTTATCACTAAAAATTAAATTTAAACTTTATTTAAATGAATATTAATTGTAGCGCACGACGTTTCCGTGTCAAGAGGAAAAAACGAGAGAGCATAAGAAATCTCTGCTGTCAGAAGCCAGAGTTATGTGCTACTCCGTACTTAGTAGATACAGCGTTGCATTTGCGTTACCTGCATGGGGTACGGACTTAGTTCTGAGTGCCACAGATAGTTTTGCAGCTCTAGTTCCTTGTAGAAAGTTTTATATAACTCTTTGGCTACAGCGGCCAACAACACAAACTGGTTAGAAAACAAGTAAGAGCACCGCTGTCTTCGGCTATGCCGAAGGCTTCATACCTTTCATGAACATCTGCAAATTTTAGTTTGACAGATTACTGATTTTGAATACATCTGCATACATCGATAGAGGAGTTACATACTTATATAAAAAATCGCATCTAAACAATCAGAGGTATGGAAGATATACTTTATATGGCACCAATCTAAGTGATTTTCACTGCTATGTGATCGGTATGTAAACCGGTAACACAATTTATTGGGTTTAGTTTCCTACATAAAGGAGATATATCGCAAAACTGGTATCTGAACAATCAGTGCTATAGGAGATAAAGCTTATACAGCATAGATTTTGACGATTTTCTCAGTAGACTTTGTATTATTGTTTATAAAATAGCTTAAGAAATTTATCAGTTTTAGCTGTCCAAATAAAGGAGTTTTGCAGTAAAATCCCATATCTGAACAATCAGATGTATGGAAGATATATGTTGTAGTCACCCGATCCTTGATTATTTTCACTGTAAGTATTCTGTTAATAATGAGTGAAAATGGTGCGAAATTTCATGTTCCTAGCTGCATAAATGGAGGAAGATATGATAAAAGACCTCATATCTGAACAATCAGTTGTATGGGGGCTGCAGGTTATAGTGACCCGATCTTCGTTATTTTCACTGCAAGTCTTCTGCTGATAATGAGTGAAAGCAGCGCGAAATTTCATGGTCCTAGCTATATAAAGGAGGAGTTATAACGAAAAATTTTATATCTGAACAATCAGTTGTATGGGAGCTATAGGTTATAGTGACCCGATCTTTGTAATTTTCACTATAAGTATTCTGTTGATAATGGGTGCAAGTACTGCAAAATTTCATGTTCCTAGGTGCATAAATGGAGAAGTTATAACGAAAAATCTCATATCTGAACAATCAGTTGTATGGGAGCTATAGGTTATAGTTATCCTTTTTTTTAATTTTCACTGTAAGTTTTCTGTTGATAATTATTGAAAACAGTGCGTAATTTCCTGTTCCCAGCTATATAAATGGAGGAGTTATAACGAAAAATCTCATATCTGAACAATCAGTTGTATGGGAGCTATATGTTATAGTGGTCCGATTCTTCCGGTTCCGACAAATGATTAATACATTATAAAAATACACCCACCTACCAAATTTGATCCGGATATCTCGAAAACTGAGAGACTAGATTGCATACAAACAGACAGACAGACGGACAGACGGACATACGGACGTGGATAAATCAACTCAGCTCGACGTTCTGATTATATAAGTATACATTTTAATGAGTCTATCTCTTTTTGTTCTGGTACTTACAAACATCGGACCAAAGTCATGCTCATGAAAGGTATAAAAACAAGGTAGCAAACGCAAGCTCAACGCTCTTATGTAGGCATGGCACTCAGTACGGCAATCATACCAACTACAAGTACATATGTATGTATACTTGAAAATAGATAATTGCATCTCGGTCAAGCTGTTTATAGAACTTTTCTTTCTGTTTGCAACTCAAACCGACCGCCGTGCTTATTCATACCAAAATAGATCTCGCGGAACCCCGGTGACTTTTCTACGGAACCCT